CGGGGTGGGAACCGGCAGCCCCCCCCCCCGTGCAGCCCCCAGCCCCTGGAGCCCCAGGGAGGAAGGATGCCTGGGAACGGCCCCTCCTCTGCAATGTGGACTGGGGAACCCAGGGGAGCCACCCAGCATCATGTCCCCACCCGGTGCCAACCTACCCTCCTCTGGCAGGACTGCCGCACGTCCTCCAGCTCCTCGTCCTTGTCCTCCAGTTCCTTCTGGTGGATCTGCTTCATCCGTTCAACCTCAAGCTCCAGCCTCTGGTGGAGCTGGAAGAGCAACACATGGTGATGACACACGACCCTAGAGGGACAAGGACAGTGCAGGGTGAACAGTCCCAGCACTCCCAGCCTGGGTACGGCTCCGTTACCTGCTCCAGGTGATCAACAGCAGCTGTTTGCCGCTCCAGCTCCTTCTTCTGCTCAGCAGCACTGGCCTCCAGGTCCCAGAGCTGCTTCTTGAGTGTGGGCACAGTGTGGGGGTCCCGAGGGCTGGGGGTGCTGAGCTCCTGCACCCGGCCAGTCAGTGTGTTCACCCGCTCTGCCAGCCTGGTCACCTCTGCCTCCTTCTGCTGCTCGGTGGGGACAGAGCGGCTGGTCAGAGCCCAGTCCCAAATGTAGGAGAGGGACTTGCACAAACTCCCTGCTCCTAAAACCCGTCCAACGGCATCATCTGAAACACCCCAGAGCAGCAGCCAGCAGGGGCTGCCCCCTCCCTGCACCAGCAGCACCGACTCCACCAGGAGCATCCTTTCCATCTTGGTTTTGCTCACTCACTCCTCACTTCTCCCCATGGTCTGTCCCCTGCAGGGTCCCCCCCAGCCCCTGCTGCCTGAGGGGTGCCTGGCAGCCACCTTCATGCTCCCCCAGTCTTGCACACCATACCCCTGCTGCAGTGGGGGTCTTGGTGGGCACCCAGGGCAGCACCATCCTGGGGTGGCACAGACCTGTGGCTTCACACACAGAAGAGACTTCAGAGAAAATGAGGGTGGGCCTAATTAGCTAAACCATGGGCTGAGTTTCACTGGTGAGAAGTGAGAGCCTTTCTTCTGGGAGAGGAGAATGTTATTTAAATACACCAGACACATCCTAGAGCTGCACTAAAAAGAACTGGAATGAAGTTGCCAGGTCTGTGGCTGATTGCCTCTGCTGGGATGGCGAGGGTAATGGCTTTGCTCCAAGAGCTGCTCCCCAGGAAAGAGCGGCTGGTCAGAGCCCAGTCCCAAATGTAGGAGAGGGACTTGCACAAACTCCCTGCTCCTAAAACCTGTCCAACTGCATCATCTGAAACACCCCAGAGCAGCAGCCAGCAGGGGCTGCCCCCTCCCTGCACCAGCAGCACCTACTCCACCAGGAGCATCCTTTCCATCTTGGTTTTGCTCACTCACTCCTGACTTCTCCCCATGGTCTGTCCCCTGCAGGGTCCCCCCCAGCCCCTGCTGCCTGAGGGGTGCCTGGCAGCCACCTTCATGCTCCCCCAGTCTTGCACACCATACCCCTGCTGCAGTGGGGGTCTTGGTGGGCACCCAGGGCAGCACCATCCTGGGGTGGCACAGACCTGTGGCTTCACACACAGAAGAGACTTCAGAGAAAATGAGGGTGGGCCTAATTAGCTAAACCATGGGCTGAGTTTCACTGGTGAGAAGTGAGAGCCTTTCTTCTGGGAGAGGAGAATGTTATTTAAATACACCAGACACATCCTAGAGCTGCACTAAAAAGAACTGGAATGAAGTTGCCAGGCCTGTGGCTGATTGCCTCTGCTGGGATGGCGAGGGTAATGGCTTTGCTCCAAGAGCTGCTCCCCAAACTGGGTTACCTCCAAGCTCTGCTGCAGCTTGCCCATCTCCCATCGGATGCTGGTGTTCTCTTGTGACAGTTTTTCCCGGAGGCTCTTCTCAAAGGCAGACTCCCCCAGGGCCTGGGCTAACTGTAGGTCAAACCTGGAGGGAGAAACCCCTCTTACTGCTCCTGAATGGATCTGCAAGGATCCTGACAGCCTCTGCATCCCCTCCCCACGGAGCCACCAAGTGACTGCTTTCATGGAAGTGTGTTCCACTCACACAGCAACTGGATATAAAAATAACCTCCTGGCTCAGCCCAACCTCCACCAGTCGAAGCAGACGAGAAGAGCAGCTTTTCCAGGAACTCCACATGCAAAGCCGCCTTGAGCATCCCTCTCTCCTGCCCTCCCCCTCCAGCATCCCCAACCCCCACCGGCACAGCCCCGGGACCCCCTCCTGGCCGCCCCGCACGCCGCCTGAGCCTCGCCCAGCTGCGGGCAGAGCCGGAGGTCAGACCCCCCTTCTGGCACCGGGGGATGGCTCAACCGGAGATCTTTCACCAAACAAATTTAGGACACCCCCCCCTCCATCCCCCAGGGCTGCAGGGACCCTCCCAGTTGGGCCAGCAAAGCTGCCCCCGGGGTGGGGGGGGGGCGATCCTGCTCCTCTGCTGACAGCAGCGCCCGGACCCGCCGAGCTGGACCCCCCCGGGGGTTCGTGTCACGCCTGGGGCAGAGGGACACGCAGAGCTCTCCCCGGCCAGAGAATGGAGTCATTAAGGAATGACTTTAAATAAGCAAAATCTTGCCTTAATGAAGCCTGTAATTCCAAACTAACAATCTGAAAGCAAATGGGCTGGTTTGCTTTACCCAGCTCCTAGGATGGGCTGCTTTTCTTATTCCTTTTTAATGTACCATGAATAATACTCATTGCTTTATTTCACCCTCACTGGAAGTGACCTGACTCCCAAGCACTCTGGCTTTTTCCTTCCTCATGGCAAAGCCCAGGAACTGCTGACTCTTCCCGTTAGCAGCTCTTTGTGGGACAGATGATGTGAGCACAACTCTGTCCAGTACCCAAAATCCAGAGGAACACAAAGAGCCACCACTCAGCCCCTCCCCACCCTGCACACACTCACGTTTGACCAAGGTGGCATTTCGCCACGTTCTGGTGTAAGAGTGATTTTAAAAAAACAAACTTGAAGGAAGCCTTGGGTATTTATTCCCAAAGCAGCAGGACACAGCTGGTTTTCCCTGGTCAGCGAGAGCATCAGCAGCTCCAGCTGCGTTTTGAGCCTCAGCCCTGCAAAGCTTTGCCTGCCCTGGGAATGGGGAGAGGACAAGGGGCTCGGGCAGCAGCCCCACTCCTCAGTGTGACCCTGAGGAGTCCCTGTCCCCTCCCGGGGCTGGCAGCACTTGCCTTTTGCTCCAGCTCGGTCCTGGCACCCAGCTCAGCCTCCAGCCGCTCCTCCAGCTGCGCCAGCCGCTTCCCCACGCACGG